TGCATTTATTTCAAGCTCCCCCCTGAAGGCCTACCTGGCATGCAGTGCTGTCTAGCACGGAGCAGGCCCTGAAAATAGCATGTGACAACTGAATGAGCGAGTCCAGGAATAATGCGTCACTGGACATCACCCACACAGAAAAGCCAGGACAAGGTGGAAACAGAGTTGAGATGTACAGCATAGTGATTCTGGATGGAGACGGATGGTCTTAGCCCTTCCAGCCACACGGGGTTGTGTTACAGCCCTGCTCGCCTGGCCTGGCTGCTGGGACTGTGAGGGGGAATTGGTCAGTCTCCACGGGAAGGAGATGACCATGCAGGTTGGACCCACGTGGGACCTGCGGCTGCCAGAGCCTCTCCCCTTCTACAACCTTTGGAGACTCATTAAACACGCGCTCAGCACCCCTCACAACTGCCCTTCCCTTCCCTCCTCGGGCCTCTCCCTGGGTCAGCCCTGCTCCTGGCGGGGAGGAAGGAACCTACTCTGAGTCAGGCCTGAGAAGTAGCTGTTGCTTCACCCTGGCCCCCAAGGGCTTGGAGAGCTGACCTGCTTTGTCCACAGGAAACTGTCCAGCTCAGGCCAGAGCATGGAGTTTGATGTGAATAAGCAGGGGGGAAAAGTGTCTTCATTTTTTTCTCCTTCAGATTGGATTTAATTGAAAACAACCACTCAACCCAACACTTTCCTTTCAGGTCCAGCGCCAGCCTCTGAGTCAGAGGAGGGACCTGAGGCTGGCACCCCAAGTCCAGAGAGGGTGGCCATGGCCCAAGGGCTCGGGAACACAGATCTGTGAAAGGATGTGGGGCTCAGAGCAGCCAACCGCTCAGGCTTCCTGCATCCACCATGGGACTGAAAGGGGACAGAGTGGGGCCAACCCTGGGCTGGGCGGAGGTCAGAGGAGGGAGGCCTAAGGCTCTCCTGCCCCAGCGGACACCCACCAGTTGAGGGTGCTTCCCTTCCAAGCTCTGCAGAGTCTCTGAGGAGGAGCAGGCTGTTGCAGACGCGCCAGGAAGGCAGCACTGGAAGAGGCTGCTGGCACCGGATAGGGCGCGGGCTGGGGCTGGGGCTCCCTCCCTCTGGCTCACTGGGAAGCCAATGCCACTCTGACATCATGGATGAAAGTCAGGTCTGGCTTTCAAACATTGGGGCTGCTCCTCCCAGCTCAGCCTGGCCAGCTGGACCCTCCCAAAACGGGATCTCTTTTGTCAGCTGCCTTTTATAGAACTATAAAACCAGAAGTTCAAGTAAGAAGCCTTAGACCAGTCACCAGAAGAGTCAGGCTTTGCCTCTCCTGCTCACCTGCCTTCTCTCTCCTCACTGCAGTGGCTTTCACTACTGGCAGAGCCCAGTTGCTGCCTTCCATCTCAGCCCTTTGAAGACCCTACAACCCCCAGAGGCACATGAACCTGCCCAGGAGGGGGACCTGGACATGTGCTTTGGAATTAGGGGAAAGGAAAGAGAAGAGGGGCACTTAGGCTGCCATTACTTGGGAGAAAGAAAGATACTTCTGTAAGGCAGTAAAAGAACACATACAGAATTGGAAAACGTAAAAGAAGCAACCCGGGACCACAGTCCATGAGGACAAGACCTTTGCCAAATAACTGTGACCTTTGCTGCTTCAAATTCCTTCTTTAATCAGTGGCATCCTTTGGCCAAAGAATAAAGGAATAGGGTGGTGGGCCACCAGATGACCTATGGTTAGCTGAGTTTGGAAGGGAGGAGATATTAGACATTTGGAGCTTGAGAAAGGGGTTGAATTCCCTTCTCCTTATGTCAAGAATGGGCCAGAGTAGTTTCTAAATTAATTACAGTGGCAGAAAGAAGCAAATGGATGAAATCAGTTATTTTTGACTTGAAGAAATTGGATCAATATCAACTGTGATTCCTGGGAGAATGAGACGACTTCTACAGTTTAGGAAGTGCCATCTATACTCCAAGTACATGAGGAATAAACCAAAACCAAAGGAACTCACCCCAAGGTTCAAGATGGTGGCTGAGTTAGCACAGCCACACCTGTGGGACCATCTCGTCTACCTTCAGCTTAAAGGATTAACATGAAGTGGAAGGAAAGGTGTTAGTAAAACCATTCTTTGCTCAAATTAAATCACTTATCTTGACTTGATAAGAGATTTTTTTTTTTAGGTGTAACACATGGGACCTTTCTTCTCTTGGCCTTGAGTTATTTGCATGTACCTTGAGCATTAACATTCCTGTGGGTCTCACAGATCATATCTGGCTGTTATATAACTGGCATTATAAGATTGGGAAGGATCTTGATGATAATACCTAGGTCAAAGTCTTTAATTTATGAATGAGAGAGGTTAAACGACATGCTTTGTATACGCCTACATTTATTCATCCAAGATTATTATTACTATCGCTCTTTTTGTTCCTGCTGTTATTATTTAGCACCTACACATGGTAAACATTGTTCTGCACACTGGTGAGTCATTGGTGAACAAAAGGGGGAAAATAATCTTTGTTTTGTGAAGCTTATAGACCAGTTGGAGAAACTGACATTAAACAACATGAACAAATGTGAGAATGGTACCTTTTCAGGAAAAATGATGAAGAAAACAGTGAAAGAGGTGACAGTGCTTGAGATGCAATAGCCAGGAAAGACCTCTCTAAGCAGGTGACCTCTGCAGTGAGCTCTCTATGATGGGACAGAGCCAGACACGAGAAGCTTGGAGACAAGCATTTTTGAGGCCATGGGATGGCAAGGGCCTAGGCCCCCAGGCTGGAATGATCCAGGTGTTCTTTCGAGGCAGAGATAGAATAGTGTAGCTGAAGTATAATGAGTAGAATGATCATGGACCAGAGCAGGATAAAATGCACTGCCCACCACCCTGCTTACAGTTGTCCCTATGGAAGACCCATAAAGCTTTGTGTGGTCCAGGAATGAATGTGTTCTTTGTGAGACCATCCCTCCCCTGTTGTAACTAATCTTGTTCTACAAACTCTTGCAGGGAACAAGCCCAAGGAGAAAGCTGGTTCCCCACCCAAGACACCATCAAGACTCCTCCCCTCATGCACGCCATTGCAGTTTACCACCAAAAGTTTACCAGCCTGCAAGAACATCATGGCCACTCAGACCATCACATCTTGTTACGGGCTGGGTTGGTTTTCCCCCCAACCCCCCCCCCCCCAAAAAAAAGATTCGGTGAAGTCCTAACTTACAGTAGCTCAAAATGTGGCCTTATTTGGAAATAGGGTATTTGAAGATTTAATCAAGAGAAGATGAGGTCATTAGGTGGGCACTAATCCAATATGACTAGTATCCTAATTAAAAGGAGAAATTAAAACACAGGGAAAGTCCCTCAAAATCCTTCCACTGGGATCTATAACTCAGTCTCTAGTTATCAAAATGCCCCATAACCTTACGCTTTTCTATGGATGTTCTCTTCGAATGCCTGCTACAGCGGAATCCAGCCTTCCCTCCAGGTCATGGTTTCCCTTTCAGCTTTCTAGCAGTGGCTCTTTTTTCTTCCCAGGGACACCAGGTCTAGAGAAGGGTTGTGTGTCTTACTTGCTCCACATTCTGTCATCTAGACCATGTCTCCATCCTCTAGCCTCTCCGCCCCCAGCTTCTTTGATGCCCATAGCATTAGACTTCTTTCCAAGTCTCATTTTTAAGGATCCCACTCTCCAACCACTACCTGCCATCTTCCAGATAATTCACTGACTCTTCGGTTGACACCATTCCTTAAACCATTTCATGCCCTTCATTTTCTTCTTTCCATCGTTATAATCACTGCCTTATATAAACTCAGCTTCCATCTCTTCCTCTAGCCTACTGACTTGGAAATCTCCTACCCGGCTTCAACCCAGCTCTCCACCGACTCTGAACCTACACCAGAAGATCTGAATACAACTGGAGGAAAGCATAAAGCGGAGCTGTCTGTCTGGTCACGTGAATTTTTTACCACAAACCTCACTAGGGACCTCAGCATTGCCTGGCAATCCTACTACCTTCTTCTGGTCAATTCACAATCCTGTTCTCCAAGGCCATTATTTCACAGCTTTTCTCCCCTTACAGCCACCTCCTCACTCTCAGTTGATGACCTCATATTTATTCACTGAGAAAACAGAAGTAGGCAGAAGAGAACGCCCTCATCCACCTAAAATGAGTCACCTGTCACCTCCTCAGTACCCATATATCCTGCCTTCCCTGCAGACTGTAGCCTGCTCCCATCGGGGACCTACTCTGTTGCTGGTCCACCATATCCCATCCTGTCTTGCCTACTTAAAGACTGCTCCACAATCATGTCCCCTTCCCTCAATATCATCTCTTCTCTCTGTGTCTCATTCTCATCGGTCTCTAAGTGCACTGGAATATCTCCCCTTTCCTGATGGCTTCTTCTAGCCATCAATTTTAAAAAAATATATTTTTTTATTGATTTCAGAGAGGAAGGGAGAGGGAGAGAGAGATAGAAACACAAATGATGAGAGAAAATCACCTATTAATATGGCCAAGGGGGTGCCTCTTGTACACCCCCTTCTGGGGATTGAGCCTGCAAGCCGGGCATGTGCCCTGACCAGAATCAAACCATGACCACCTGGTTCATAGGTCGATGCTCAACCACTGAGCCACACCAGCCGGGCCTACCTATCACTTGACTTTCTTTTTGCCATAGACCAAAACTCCTTGAAATTGTGACCTATATTCGGCCTCCACTTCTTCACCTTATGAGCTCTTCTCAATCCTTCCTTACCAGGCTTTTGCCTACCGTTACCTGTTCTGGTCTCAGCCCTTGGCCATATTAAAAGACTAATTCTCAATCCTTACCTGGAGATCATAGCAACATGTAGAATAGCAATCTCTCTTCACTTGGCTTTTTTTAAAAAACATTTTATTGATTTTTACAGAGAGGAAGGGAGTGGGATAGAGAGTTAGAAACATCGATGAGAGAGAAACATCAATCAGCTGCCTCCTGCACACCCCTTACTGGGGATGTGCCCGCAACCAAGGTACATGCCCTTGACCGGAATCAAACCTGGGACCCTTCAATCTGCAGGCTGACGCTCTATCCACTGAGCCAAACCGGTTAGGGCTTCACTTGGCTTCTTGTATGTTATACTTTCCTGGTTTTCCTGCTACTCTTTTTCAATCTCCTTTCCTTCATGCCTCCACCTCTCCCTCTCCTCTAAATACTCTTTTGCACCAGAGATTAGCTCTTGCCCCTCTTCTCTTCTGTATCTACACAATCTAGCAGATATCAACCAGAATCATGGCTTTAAATATCTATATGTTCATGACTCATTTATCTTTAGACCTAATCTCTCTCCCTGAATTCCAGACATGTATATTCAACTACCTACCAGACCTCTCCACCCCAATATCTAATAGATATGTTAAATACAATATGCCCAAAATGGGAATCTTGACCTTTCTCTACCCTCTCCTCCCCAAATATGCTCCTCCCACAGGTTTCCCCATCTTAGTGAATGGTGTCACCATTCTCCAGCTCTTCAGGTCCCAAGCAGAGCACTCATCCTTGTACCCTTTCATTGCACAGACAAATTCATCAGTCAACACATCTCACTGCAGTGCATGCCAATGCTACAAAGAAGAATAAACAGGGTGTGGGGATAGAATGTACCAGAAGGCAGGGAAGGTTGGAGGCATTATTTGTTAATCATGGTCAAGGATAGACTCTGAGAAAGTGACATTAAAGCAAAGATTTTCCTGAAACAGAAAGGCACAAGCTCCTGCAGGATCTGAGAAGAAAGCACTCGAGCCAAGGACAAAGCAAGTGCGCAGGTCATGAGGTCAGGAACGTGGCATGTCTGAGGAGGACAGCAAGTTTTGAGTGCCTGAGCAGACGGAAGAGTGACAACCATCAACAGGGGCCAGACTATGAAGGATCTTGTCAGCCGGGGTTGGCCTGATGCTTGTGTTTCATTCTAATTGTTATGGGAAAGTAATGGACAGTTTTCAGCAGGAGACGATCATGATCTGATATATGTTTTATAGGTAATGCTGGCTCCGTGGTGGAAATGAATTGTAAGAGACCAAGAGAAGAACAGTGAGTCCGGATAGGAGCTTATTGCAATATTATAACTTTTTCTATAAAGGGCTGTGCTATGGGCTGAATGTTTGTGGTCCCCTAATAGCCATACATTGAAACCCTAATCGCCAATGGGATGGTATTGGGAGGTGGTGCCTTTGGGAGGTGATTAGGTCATGAGGGTGAAGCCCTCATGATGGGATTGCTGCCCTTATAAGAAGAGACAGGATATCTCTCTCTCTCCCTCTCTCTCTCACTTTCTCTCTCTCTCTTGCCAGGTAAGAATATAACACAAAAATGACCATCTGTAAACTAAGAAGAGGTCCTTCACCAAGCACCCATCAATGCTGGCATCCTAATCTTGACCTTCCCAGCATCCCAGCATCCAGAACTGTGAGAAATACATGTCTATGGCATTTTTGTTAGAGCAGCCTGAGCTGACTAAGACAGGCTAGGGAGTAAATCTTTTAGGCTTTGCTGCCATAAGGTCTCTGTCACAACCACTGAATCTGGCTGTTGCAGTGCTAATTCAGTCACAGCCAATCTGTAAATTAGTGCACGTGTCTATGTGCCAAGAACACTTATTAACAGGCCCTGGGCTGGATTTGGCTTGTGGGTCATAGTTTGCAGACTTCTGTTCTAAACCCGAAATGCTGACGGATTGGCCTAGGCCTATCATATGGGCATAGTTTTAGAGGTTACTCTGGACAGTTACTCTTGCTGTTGATGGATTAAATGTGGGAGCAAATACACTTCTTTGAGATTCACTTTTTAATTATTCCAGTGTGTCACACGGCTTCTACAGGCGTTTCTTTCTTTTTCTTTTTTTGTCATTCCTCAGACGATACTAACATTTATATTTCTATGAGAGTAAAATAAGATAGTTATTCATGGAAAAAGAAATACTGATCTCACTTAGTGGGAAATAAGCTAAACTCTACCCAGAGGGCACTGATTTTATGTGGAAGCAAAATATTCTCCTCCAAACTAACCTCCTAACCCCATGATACTCAGCTCACTAATGTGTGTGTGTGTGTGTGTGTGTGTGTGTGTGTGTGTGTGAGTATGTTTGTGTGTGTGATGAGTGTGTCCTCTCCAATGGGGAGGAGTCTTTTACCACTGAAGTTGTTTAGAATTGCCAGTACAAGATGCCAATAAAAAGACCAACCGTTCATTGCTTTCTTGATTGCTTTTACATTCTCTACCTTCAATTTACCATGGTATTGCCTGTGTCCAGGGCACACACACCCACCGCCCCACTCCCGTGGCACATTATTGTCCGATTGGTCCCAAGGAAACAGTGAAGGCCCTGGGCTAATCCTTCTGCATGAAAACGATGAGACACAGATACTTTAGTCCTAACTCAACCAAACGTTTTATGTGTGATATTGAGAACAACCTCCCATGAAGAAAAAGAAAAAGGAGGAGAAGAGAGTGAAAAAAAAGTCATTTAAGAAATGAATGAGGTGTCACTATATATCTACAATTTCCCCCAAGGACAGCAACTGGTGGATACAGAGTATTAAATAGCAATGGGGACCCTGCTGAGCATAAACTCAATGCACGAGGGAGAGCCGGAGAGGTAACCTGTGTGCCCAGCAACTTTCCACTCCCCCTTCCCTGCGCCCGTCCGGGCTGCCATCCCCTGGCTGGGAACACACTGTGCCGGGTTGGGCTGCAGAGCCTTCTCGGTGTAGTAATAAAGTGCACACTTATAATGTTGGGCCGAGTGACAAGAACAACATGGAATAACACTCTACCCACCCACTGAGAAAACCAAGTGTGTCACACTCCTCTGTGTCATGGTTTTAAAAATATCTCCACGGACGGTCCAAGTCTCAGGTTGGGCTGGAGGGGTGTTTAATGCCTGCCGATGCCAGGTGGAAAATGTTTTCATCAGCGTCCCGAGGCCCCGAGTGATGGACGGCGGCTGGGTTGCGTGTGAGCGCTCAGCAGCACGTGTTTAAGAAAAATGGGGCGGGGGGTGGCTATTTCTTTGCTCATTTTACCCCCTTTTTCTTTCTTTTTTAATTACATGTTCCTGATGAGGAGGTGTGGTCCTTGGCACTGCCACCCAGGCTCCCCTCCACCTCGAACCACACGGAGAGGAGAATTCAGAGGACTTCTCAGCACTTGGCTCCATTCTTGGCATCAACGGAAACATAAACCCAGGGGCCAGCAGAGAGCGAAGGCTTCTGGAGAATGAGGGGTTTAGAAGCCCAGTGAGTGTCTGGAGAGACTGGCTCTTCCCAAGGGTTTATCTCTTGCTCTCTCCTGCCTTGCTTCCTTGCGTAAGAAGAGCACAGCCCGCCTGGCCATTGTGGCTCAGTGTTTGAGGACTGACCTATGAACCAGGAGGTTATGGTTCATTTCCTGGACAGGACACATGCCCGGGTTGCAACCTCAATCCCCAATGAGGGGTGTACAGGAGGCAGCTGATCAATGACTCTCTCTCATCATTGATGTTTCTCTCTCTCCCTTTCCCTTCCTCTCTGAAATCAATATTAAATCAATCCTATATAATAAAAGCGTAATATGCTAAGTGTCTGACCGATCAGTCAACCATTTGGTCGACCGCTCAACCAGTCGCTATGATGCACACTGACCACCAGGGGGCAGATGCTCTGACTAGTAGGTTAGCTCGCTGCTAGGGTCCGGCCAATCAGGACTGGGTGAGAGGGCCAGGCACGCCCCAGAGCCCTCTAGCGGTCCCTCCCTGGCTGGCTGGCCCCCATCGCCCTGATCAGGACTGGGTGAGATGACCCTGATCGGCCCCTGATTGATGGTCAAGCCGAGGGACCCCACCCATGCATGATTTTGTGCACCGGGCCTCTACTATATATATAAAAAAGACAAAGAGCACAGACCAGGCTAAGTCTACTAGAGCAGTGGTTCTCAACCTTCTGGCCCTTTAAATACAGTTCCTCATGTTGTGACCCAATCATAAAATTATTTTCGTTGCTACTTCATAACTGTCATGTTGCTACTGTTATGAATCATAATGTAAATATCTGATATGCAGGATGGTCTTAGGTGACCCCTGTGAAAGGGTAGTTTGACCGCCAAAGGGGTCGCGACCCACAGGTTGAGAATCGCTGTACTAGAGTTTTGTCACCAAGTGGGGGTTTCAAACAACAGGGTGGGCCTTTTAACCCCTGGGGCTTTGTTCTTGTTTCCTTTGGAATATCCAGGGACTATTAGCAGGCAAGTTGTTGAACCTTCAAGCCTAGGTTCCTGACTTGTAAAAGGGGGTAAGGATAGAATCTACATCTGGAAGGTTGGAGTGATGAGAAAATGATGTGACACAGGCAAGCACTTACGACAGGAGCCAGCACACAGCAAGCACTCAAGAAATTCTGGCTGTGTTTGCAGTGTCAGAGTCTCACAGGTGACAAACATGTGGAAAAAAATCTTTCACTTGAAATCACAGAGGAAAAATTGTGTGAGAGCCCACGTGCTCTGGGCCCCACCTGCACTCTGCCCCATCTTCATTCGCTTGGACACAGGCGGGGCCTGCTCCACTGAGCCCCTGGAACTTCTTTATCTGCATGAGGCATGCAGGCCTTACATTTGCTATGTCCTCTGCCTGGAACATTCTACTCCCAGATAAGCCCAGGACTTGCTGCTTCACTCCTTCCTGACATTTACTCAAATTTAATTTATTAGAGAGAGATCTTGCTCTCTGAACAATCCACAGGGGCGCCCCTACTACCCCAGTCAGGTACTGTCCCTCTTCCCTGTGTCATTTGCCTTCTTCTAGGTACCTGCATGTTATATGTTCATGGATTAGTATAGTTATTTTCTATCTCCCCTGCTAAAATGTAAGATCCGAGAAAATAGGGGTTTTGTCTTTTGTTGCTGTCATTGCAACATTGCTAACACTTAAAATGGTGCCCAAAGTACAGAAGGCATACACTAACTATCAATTAAACAAACACATCAAACATATTCATACTTCATAATTCACAAACAAATAAAACATATACATATGTCATTATCCCCTTAATGAAGAATAATGAAAGCACTCAGACCATTAAGAATATTCTGGGCCTTAACCCAGCCATGGGCAAACTACGGCCCGCGGGCCGGATCCGGCCCGTTTGAAATGAATAAAACTAAAAAAAAAAAGACCGTACCCTTTTATGTAATGATGTTTACTTTGAATTTATATTAGTTCACACAAACACTCCATCCATGCTTTTGTTCCGGCCCTCCGGTCCAGTTTAAGAACCCATTGTGGCCCTCGAGTCAAAAAGTTTGCCCACCCCTGCCTTAACCTGACCCTTTGTAACTTTTGACATGAGATAACTTTAAACTTAAATCCAAGAAGTTCATTCACATCAGAATCACTGTGATCTTTCCTCTCCTTGGTATTCTCAGCCCTTGTAATATTATATTTGATTGGAGATATTCTACATACATGTAGGGGAAACATCAAGATTTTTAAAAAAATTGACCAGATCCTTCTTGTGATTTATTTACGTCCCAAGAGTCTTATGACTCGCAGTAATGAGGAAGACTTGGCCAGCTCCCTGAGATTTCCTCAATGTCACCTTGTCTGACATGGAAGGAGGCCTCCTCAATATAACGAGGTCTTTGTACAATGTGCTTTGTTCTGGGGGGAAGAGACAGCTTCCATCCAGGCATTCCCCAAATCACATGAATATACATTCTTCCTGACTTTTTAGGATTTTGCCATAATGGAGCAAATCATGCCAATTCTGAAGTCTTGAAAACTGTATCAGCATGAACCTTGACCTATGCAAGTTGTCAATTTATTGAGGGACCAGACAAGTGAATGAAGGTAACTGCTTACAGTTCTGAAGACATATATAACTATTATCATGCTGCCCTTTTGTTTCTACTCAGTTTGAAGAGAGCTGAGTGGGCTAAGAGTGATTCCCACTACCATCACATCCTGAAAAGTAAACTTCAGGGCCATCATTGGGAAAACCCAACAGATAGTTGGCTAAATGCTCACATGACCACAAATTACTGTGGATAGTACAGCTTAGCTCTGGTCCTCACTGAAAATTAACCTCGCTTTGAAGGCACAAACATCCCAGCTCAGGGTCAGGTACCACAGGGATTGTTTTACTTTGCTTTATTTTATATAATAAAGCTTGCCTCACTCTGCTCAGGGCCCAAGTTGTTCTCAAGACTTTCAGGACCTGGTGAATTGAAGACATGGTTTTGCTGGCTGTTGTGTTCCATGTTGGAGACAGTATGTCATCTTTTCTTTATACCCGAAACAGAAGACTTTTTTTTTTTTTTAAATATATGGGCAATAGAACTTGTGATCCTTCAGCAGCTTGGTTCTTTATAATAACCTATGGGCACTTTCCTCTGGCATGTAGCTCACATGTAGTAGGAAACACATCTAAACCTTCACTCCCTAGTTCATACCTCTTCCTACTGCTGAAAGCGTTCAGCATGTGTTGAGTTCAAGAAGAATACGCCTCAACAGTGGCTCCCAAACCCAAAGGTCCAGTAGGGAACTCTCTTGACAGCACGTTTCTTCCACACATTTTCTCCACCCTCATCCATCTCCCACATTTCCCCAGCCTGTTTGCGCCATTGCATCTCTGCTGAGACTCGCTCCAAAGTGGGGCCTCCCTCCGATGATGATGGTAGACCAGGAGGCTGCCATCAGTGACATCAGACCTATTGGCAGTAACCACAGTGGCACTTCTGACAATATGCCAAGAGTTCTGGGAGCCAGGCATGAGGTGGGTAGTCCAAATAATGATCCCTGCCCAAGCTGCCCTCTGCTGGGACAACCCACCACTAATTAAAGGCCATCTGTTTAGCCCATCCAGGCTATCCTGCCAGGAGGAGCCAGATGTCAGCACATTACTCCAGTCCATGACCTCTCTTAGGATATTAACATGGATTATTTATGGGTGGGCTGAGGTGGTTACCCTATATGAGCCTCCTTCCTGGTGCATGGCTTAAGAAGTTATATATATATGTTATATATAAACTTTATGACGATACCATTAATTTTGGGTACTGCCAAGTAACAGACCTATAGGCTCTGTAGTTGGGTTCTGGGCCTGGTTCAACAATAATAATTTTTAAAAACACTCCAATGTCTCATTTCTCTGTGTTTTCCATGGACTCTACCTAAGTATAGATATGAATACTCTCTTCTTGGGAATTCACTGGCATCTAGTTCTTGCCAACTGTCTGTGAACTACTCTCTCTCTCCTTCAATCAGAGAGGGTGCCAAGGGAGTGCCTTTTTAAGACCAGAAGAGAATTGGGTGGCACCATTCTTGATGATATTCTTATTCTTCTAAGTTATGAGTTGAACTGCCTTCTATCCACAGCAGGTTCTGGGTGAATTAGTTTACCCCCATGAGGGGAAGAAAGTTAGATGAATACAGAACTAAGGATCATAAAAGCTGAATTCTAATCATGGCT